TATCTGTTAGGTGTAGAACTATATCGATTGTCTTGCAGTGATTTCACTTGAATATAAATGTTTTACGCCAAAAACTTGTGAATCGCAGAATAATTTCTTAACTGTCATTAGCAAACAAATTATCATGGAGTATTCAATTATAACGAGAGAGTCGCTCTATAGTTAGGAATTTTTCTTAGTTGTTATTTTAATTCAACTCTGGTTTATAAAACAGCGTCTAAGCAGGTTACAGTTAAAATGTCAGCATCAGACTGAAACTAAACTCCTCCTTCGTCATTGCCCATCTTTCCGCTGCCACAGTACTGTGCAACTAAATTTGTGCAGAATTTTTTAACCAATCTACATTCATTATGGGAGGTTTTAAAGCAATCAAGCATCACTTGCATTATCTTCCACTTCGTGTAAAGATTTCTCTTCTTCTGCTTTTTTTTCAGTTCTAGACATTTTTTGAAGTTATAGCCTCAACCAGCGTCGGTTACGCGACGTCGCGATGCGGGTGACGAGTGCGAACTCTGTTAGGCCCTGGGCAGAGCTCATGCGATTTCGTCGCGTCGCGGCCTATCACTTTGGACAAGTGTTCCACGCCACGCTGTGTAGTGTGTGGGTCCCGACGCGTTTGTGATGGCTGCGCGGCGCGACGGATCGCGCCACACCTTTCGGCGTTCATAGCTCACCTAGCGATATCGTCGCGATTTTGCCGAATCGGCGCGATGTCGCGTCGCTCGTTTGCGGCGAGCGACGGGGCGACCGTCGCGCCGATCCTGAACTGCTTTTTTCGGTGTTTTTGTAGTAAGTTGCTGTTTTTTGCATGTTATGAGTGTTTTTGCATGAAATGTTGCAAATGCCAAGTTATGCCTATCCTTGCTTTGTTTGATGAGGGCAGTTAGTCTCATTTTGCAATTTTTCCTGTCTTTCAATATACATTTCCCTACATCTCATATCCTAGGCTGCCATAGAGATCTGTAACAAGCCCTACCCTGTTCGATTGCGCATCGAATACTTAAAAAATGTGCTCACAGTCTGCGTAACTCCGAAATATGAGCTTTGCATGAGATAGTAATAGTATTTTCGTCTATCATGTGCAGCACACGGGGGAGCTTCTAGAGCTGAAAACATCGTTTTGCCGCATAACGGTTCCTTCCGAGTGTCGGCAGCCATGGGGCCTTGCTGGTACTTCTTCCCTATTGTAATTAATGCTTCCCAACATTCATTTGATTATGAGCCTTTTACCAGAACCACGATGTCGTTGACTTCTCCTTTTATCGTTGATCATTTGGGTGCATAACGTTGTGATTGTTATCAAGTCGGATTCTAATGTGATAAACTTCCAAACTTCCTTTGCCTGCTGCTACACCTTTTTTGAATAACAGTGATGTAGTAAAGTTAACGAGAGCACTGATTTTCACTAATGAAAAAGAGTACGTGCAATGTGTGAAATGTTGTGCAATTGCATGAAATCGCGTCGGAGGCATGTACGCCTCCGGCGACTGAGCGACACAGTCGTCGCGTCCCAGTCGCCACTTTCGTGCAAGTCGTCGCGACTGGAGATTGCGCGACTTGGGGCCGCATGCACTAACATCCCCGAGGGGAGGGGATCGCAGCTAAAAGAAAGCTTTATATTTCGAAACTCCAAATACCTGGATTTCAAGTTGTGCACATATCCGTAAGTATTCCTACTACCCTTCACTATGAATATGTTGAAGAGGAGCGAGAAGCTGTACGAACCGCATTTTCCAGCTTTTGTGTGATCCCTGATGATCCCCGGCGGTTTTCTTTAAAGTCATTTTTCTTTCTCCGAAGTTAACGAAAAACCTCCAAAGTTGTGCAGATTATCTAACCCGACACTGCTAAGCATGTTGCTGATAAGAACAAATGATGTTTTGAAGTCATGAAATTTTCGATGATCCACAGGTCGAAATTTGAGGTTTACCGAAAAATTCGACTTTTCAAAAACTCATTTGATCTCGTCAGCAACATGCTTAGCACTGTTGTGTTAGATGTTCAGTACAACTTTGGAAGGTTTTCGCTAACTTCGGAGAAAGAAAAGTGACTTTAAAGAAAAGCTTCGGGGATCATCAGGGATCATACAAAAGCTGGAAAATGCGGTTCGTACAGCTTCTCGTTCCTGTTCAACATGTTCATAGTGAAGAGTAGTAGGAATACTTACGGATAGGTACACAACGTGAAATCCAGGTATCTGGAGTTTCGAAATATAAAGCTTTCTTTTAAGCTGCGCTCCCCTCCCCAGCGGGGAGGTTAGTGCATGCGGCCCTTGGTCACATGAGCTCTGCCCAGGGCCTTACGCGTGAGTGCACGTCGCATGCGACCGTACGTTCACACTTCATGTGGACCCCTGGTTCCGACTCATGTTCAGTGGTTATGACCCGGGACTTTGTATGCGCGGAGGGCGTCGCGTCACTGTGGGTCAAATTATATCCAAAAAAAGACTGAATAAGCAAAATACTTTTACACTGGGTTAATTGAAATCGAATATAGAATTGATTAAACCATGCAGAAAGCTCTGCGAACGCCCAAAAAGTTATATAGTGAAGTCAGCATGCATTAGAACCTTATTACACAAGCATCCAAACTTTCTTTGAAATTTTTTCGTACGCCCATCCCACAGTGGCGCCATAAGCAGCGGTTTCTTACCTTTATTTCTACAATAATCAAAAGGGTTCGGTAATTCGTTCCGTACTGTAAATTCAAATTTAAGCAGGCACAAAACGGTATCCAAAGCTTCTCGAAAGACTCCATGACGAAGAGTTATCAACAATCAAACAGTAAGCACACGTTTCTGAGATACACTGAACGTACTTACGTTCCAAATAGGAAATCATTCCTAGACCTATGTTCCTAAACCAATGAACCAAAATTTGTACATACATTTTGGGCCATGATCAGTGATTATCAGGGCTCGGCATAGGTGGCTTGTAAGCAAGCTGGGTTTCGTTTTTGGGACAAAAAACAAAGGGGTTTCGTTTTTGTGACCGAAAAGACACGCAAAATTGGCGACTTAGCGACTTTTTTTTACGACGTTTCGCTTTTTGGGGGATTTTGGGGAATTTTTCAGGTTTTTAGAGGAAATTTGGTTGAGGGTCAAAGGGGACTTCGTAAAAATTCCCAAAAGTCAAGGGGGACTTCGTTTTTTCCATTTTCATCTAGCCACCTCGTGCCGAGCCCTTGTGATTATGCTGACCACGAATGCAATTTCCTCACCAGGGCTGGGCACGAGGTGGCTAGTTGAAATGCAAAAAACGAAGTCTCCCTTGACTTCGCCATAAAAGTACGACATCCCCCTCGACACACTAACGAACAAATTAAACATGAAAACAAAAAGAATGAAATAGAATACAAGACCGATAAGAAATAGGCAATAAGAACTACTGATTGTTTGTATTCTTCGGGTTGGCGGCATGTTGTGTCCGCCGCGCACCACCGCGAGCTTGGAGCACCTTTGCCACTGCCACCCAGATAATTTGTAGGGCTATAACTAGGCGGGGAGGAGAGAGTTTGGGGAGGTACAAGAGCTGTTTTGTAGAATATTAGATGTAGATTACTTTTATGTAAAAAATTTGAAAAAATTATGTGAAGAGTAGGAATTATATGATTTTGTTTGCGCTAAGCCACCTCAGGTGGCTATCCAGGTGGCTTGAAAGCCACTTAACACCGAAAAAACCTTGCCATGCCCTTAGTTCACATAATTTTTTCATAATTTTCATACATAGTCCCAACTCCCCATTGCCCATCTACACACCTATTTCGGTGCCATTTCATCTTCACTTCGCTGTAAACAAACCCTTTATTTGCCGGCGGCATGTCGGCAGCGTGCCGGCAGCAGATCGAAAGACAGCGTTATGCTCTTCCGCAAAAACGATATCCCCTTTGCTTTTTCCCCCAAAAACGATATCCAGCTTGCTTCGCAAGCCACCTGTGCCGAGCCCTGTTCCTCACAGATCGCCTTTATCGATTTTTGCAAACTCTCAGCTAGCTCGGTGGGGTTGATACACTAAGTAATGCTGATACTCGTACATACTTGCAAAGTTATCTATTGTTTACCAATTTCAGCTATTCAAAGTTTGAAATGGGCCATAGGATTGGTAGTGAGGGTATGTGCATGCCATTCAGAAGAAAGACAGGGTTGAAATATCATGTTAAAGTGGAATGAACGAGTTCTACCACGTTATATCGACAGGAAAAGTAGCTCACGGCTGCTACTATCACATATCAAATACTCACATTTCTATTGATAGTAAATAGTTGTGCCCCAACATGGCCTTTCCAAAAGCTATTTCCTTGACTCTCTAAGCTTCGTTTTCATACTTCAATAAATGTAGAGAGAAGTAAATTGGCGTTTGTACCGTACACAGCCAAGTTCTCTATTTTTAGCGGATAACAATTGTTGTGGTCAGCCATTTTGAATTTTTTTTATTTAAGATATCGAAGGTTTCACATTTGCACACAGTGAGAAAATTGGGTTTTGTCATATTTTTGCGATTCTTTCCATAAGCCTAGGTCTTTAAACGGTATTTACGTTCCAAATTTCAATGAAATGCGAGACTAAACACCAAACAAAAAGCCGTCTGCATTTGTAGGAGCCACAAAAGCGACCGTAATAACACATTAGCCAACCTAACAAAAACCAAAAGTTTGTATTTGATTCACATAGATTGAAAGGGGTATCTTTTAAAGCAGATTAAAATGTTCTCTAAAGTTAGTATTTTTGAAAAAATCTACTTCGGCTAATGAAGCTGGATGAATGGTGAATTTGGAGGCTGCGTAACGAACTTTGCAAGCTTCGCCATCGTTCTGCAACGCTGAACGTATCTGAAGCACACACTACATCTAAACATTCTTGCCCGAGTAGTAAAACTAGATTTCTTAAGCATTCTTGAATGTAACTCACCGAATTTAGTACATTTGAGAGTAAATGCATGCATGGATTTGCAGAGGCAATCCTACCCTTCTCATTAAAGCAAAGAGTCCAAGTAGGCACATGTTCAACCTGTAAGAAACCGAAATACAATATGATCAATTTTGCCGTGTTTCCTACATTTGTGACTATTCCATCGCCATTGTGATATCCTACGTAAATGTCAGCAATATCCACTAAGAACGATTGCAAATAACATAAAAAATTTATGCCAAAATGATGTTTTTGAACATAACGACGAGTCTTCAACTCCACCATTTTTCCGCCTGGAAGAAATTTGTGGTAATGTTATCAAGACAAAAGTACCAAAGGTTGGCAAAAGGTGGCTATGGCAAGGTCTTGGAAACAAAGTCGCCGTTGACTTCGCAAAAACTACGAGATTTCTCTATGACATGCCCATAAATGGTTCATCAATAACAAAGAAGATAATGACAGAAAAAGAACATTGAACAGATGACAAAAAATTGCAAAAAACAGCGTTGCAAGTTTTCTTTTCAACCTGGACAATCTAGTGTACTAGCGGATTTTTGGACTGGCCATGAGTTAGCGCCTAACCTCAGTCCTAGCCATTTGCTTTCTGAGCAAAATTGAGGAACCAATGTTGGCATGCTTACCATTGATATACAATACCGCTCATAATTCGTCAAAGAAAAGTCGCCGCACTCTAGCGGAATGCGGCAGAGTGCGCCGGGCAGCGGACTGCACCGAAGCGTGGCATCGCCATATCTCGCTTGAGAATGACATATTCTGAATCCAAGGGCATCGTTCGATTCAGCTCGGCGAGACGCACTGTCCAGTATATAGAAGTGAAACAACCTATCGTGGGTAAGGTAGCCACCAGTAGGTTTTCGCTCAATTTTGCAGTTTTTGTTTGAATGGATTGTTCAGTGTGCTGATAACAATACTGACATTGATTTGCTGCTGATAGTGCTGTAGTGATACTGTAGGAGTATGGTAAGTCACTCAGATCGAATTTGTTCAAAAATCAGCTCAAGGTACAATACCGCTCACAGGGGTGCAATTTCCGTAAGCGTTGCGGAATTCCCGGAATTTCGCGATATTCTGGGAATTCCGCGACATTCCAGGAATTTCGCAAAATGACGGAAATCACGCAAACTACGCAGCACCATAATTTCCTTCGGAATAACTGCGTTCAGCTCGTTAAGGCAAGTTTTTTAATTCACAGCATGCCCTTGAAATTCCGTTTCCAGTTTTCTCATTCTTCTGCGAAGCTCCTTTCGCATTAATGTAACATAGCGCTTATCCAACATAAAAAGGTTTCAGTAAGCATCATTCGATAGCACTACTCTTGCAGGTCATCGTGCGCTAGTAGTAGACTTCTTTTCCCAGACTTCTTTTCAAAAAAGATAGAAGCGCTGGTGAATTCTGGAAAGATACCCTTTTCAAACTCTACTCGCCACAACTTCCTTCGGAATGAATATACAGGGTGTCCCAAAAAATGTGCACACTTTTGATTGTAAATAACTCTTTTGTGGTGAAGTGTTTCGAGAAGTCTTAAGTACCATTTTGTAGAGCGAGGTTCAACTTAGATTTACAATGTAGAGCGGGGTAGAAACTTTGAAGAGGTTTTTGAGCCATGAAAAGCCATATTTTGTTCCAAAAAGAAACCAAAACAACCTGAGAACTCTCACACTGGGCTAACTAGAGTTGCTGATTCTAAATGTGAAGTTCGCAATTCTTCGTAATGCTTCATTAAAAAATTATGCGAGATAAGCAAAAGCAGACGTTTTTTAAGTGCTTTCTGAAAAATGCGGTTACACCGTTTAGAAAGGTTCTCAACCTTTTAAAGAGTAGGGTATTGAACTCAGTGTCCATAAAAACTTTATTACACAAATTTCCACATTTTTTGAAAATTTTTGAAACTACCGCTTTTTTCACAGTGACACCATTTGTTTGAAGTTTCTACCGTACTCCTACAGTAAGAATGAGCGATCGGCGATTCGCTCTACACTGTAAATATAAGTTGATACTCGCTCTAAAATGGTACCTAAAGCTTCTCGTAACACCACTACAAAAGAGTTTTTACAATCAAACAGCGTGCACATTTTTCTGGGACACCCTGTATTCCGAATCAGAAAAAGACATTGTGCTCAGCTCATCAAGGCGAATCTTTCGATATACAGCAGGTCCTTAATATTCAAATTTTAAAATTCTTGAATCTTTCTGCGCACGTCTCTTCGCAAATGTGCGAAGCAGCGCGCAGTGCCCCTAGTAGATACTAACAAAAACCGTTCGATAGCACTTTCTTTGTAGATTATGGATCGCCAAAAAGTAGCCGTAGGTCCCTTTCCAAGGGAAATAGAAGGGCTAGTAAATTGTGGAAAAAACTTGCCGTCCCAAATTCTACTCGTCATAACCCTAGAATACGGAGCTATCTTGCAAAGCAGATATGAATCTTAAAATCCGCAGGTCGGATTATCTCTATGATCAGATTTTCCGATGTGTTCGAATTATTTCATTTTTCTCGTTGCACGCTCCGAAGCTCGCCAGTGGATTTTGGTCGAAATGTTGATGATCTTGGTTTGAACGAAAATTCCACTTATAGAGGTTTTCGAGGACGCTATTTTATGAAAATCGTGGTTTTTGAGGATTACAGGGTCTTTCAAAAGAGATACGGTGAGGTGACTATAACTGAATCATAGAAGTGCGTAACTTTGCCCGCACTTCTCGCGTATCTGTCAGAAAAGTTGCCTGCTTGCTTTTCTAAGTCATAGCTGCTAGAAACTGTGCTACCGAACGGTGAATGAACCAGACTCCAGTCTATAAAAATCGCCGAGTTACGAGCCTATGAATACATGTCCTCATGAATTTTCCCCAAAATTTGAAGATCGCGTATTTCGTCGAAAATCCACCATGACTATTTGTACAACACGCTGATCAAATCTCTTCACATCCTTCATGGATCTCATTGCGTGGAATTTGCTAGTTTGAGCTCTAGCCATTAAATAGCTTTGATATTTAATTGAGCAGGTGAAGCACACGCAAGCACCATATTCAATAAAGTAGGAGGTCATTAGGCGAAGTGAACATAATATCCGCATTGCGAGTGTCATACAACCACTCACGGTGGAATTTCGACGAAATAGATCTTCACATCTTGGGCAAAATTCATGAGGACGTGTTTTCGTAGACTCGTAACTCGGTGTTATTTAGAGACTGGAGCCTGACTATGCACCAATGAACAGCACAGCTCCTAGTGACTTTGACTTGGAAAAGCAAGCAGGCAACGTTTCTGATACGCGGGAAGTGCGTGCAAAGTTACGCGCTTTCATGATTCAGTTACAGTCACTTCACCGTATCTCTTTAAAAAGACCATGTAATCCTCAAAGCCCGCGATTTTCATAAATAGCGTCTTCGAAAACCTTTATAAGTGGAGTTTCCTTCCAAACCAAGATCATCAACATTTCGACCAAAATCCACTGGCGAGCTTCAGAGCGTGAAACGAGAAAAATGAAATAATTCGAACACATCGGAAAACCTGCTCATAGAGATTATCCGACCTGCTGATTCCAAAATTCATATCTGCTTAGCAAGATAGCTCCGTATTCTAGGGTTATGACGAGTAGAATTTGGGACGACAAGTTTTTTCCACAATTTACTAGCCCTTCTATTTCCCTTGGAAAGGGACCTACGGCTACTTTTTGGCGATCCATAATCTACAAAGAAAGTGCTATCGAACGGTTTTTGTTGGTATCTACTAGGGGCACTGAGTTCAATACCCTACTCTTTAAAAGGTTGAGAACCTTTCTAAACGGTGTAACCGCATTTTTCAGAAAGCACTTAAAAAACGTCTGCTTTTGCTTATCTCGCATAATTTTTTAATGAAGCATTACGAAGAATTGCGAACTTCACATTTAGAATCAGCAACTCTAGTTAGCCCAGTGTGAGAGTTCTCAGGTTGTTTTGGTTTCTTTTTGGAACAAAATATGGCTTTTCACGGCTCAAAAACCTCTTCAAAGTTTCTACCGTAATCCCACAGTAAGAATGAGAGATCGGCGATCCGCTCTACACTGTAAATCTAAGTTGAACCTCGCTCTACAAAATGGTACCTAAGACTTCTCGAAACACTTCACCACAAAAGAGTTATTTACAATCAAAAGTGTGCACATTTTTTGGGACACCCTGTATATTCATTCCGAAGGAAGTTGTGGCGAGTAGAGTTTGAAAAGGGTATCTTTCCAGAATTCACCAGCGCTTCTATCTTTTTTGAAAAGAAGTCTGGGGCTACTACTAGCGCACGATAACCTACAAGAGTAGTGCTATCGAATGGTGCTTACTGAAACCTTTTATGTTGGATAAGCGCTATGTTACATTAATGCGAAAGGAGCTTCGCAGAAGAATGAGAAAACTGGAAACGGAATTTCGAGGGCATGCTGTAAATCAAAAAATGCCTTAACGAGCTGAACGCAGTGTCGTTCCTTTTTGAGAATATATTCATTCCGAAGGAAGTTATGGTGCTGCGTAGTTTGCGTGATTTCCGTCATTTTGCGAAGTTCCTGGAATGTCTCGGAATTCCCAGAATATCGCGAAATTCCGGGAATTCCGCAACGCTTACGGAAATTGCACCCCTGTGAGCGGTATTGTACCTTGAGCTGATTTTTGAACAAATTCGATCTGAGTGACTTACCATACTCCTACAGTATCACTACAGCACTATCAGCAGCAAATCATTGTCAGTATTGTTATCAGCACATTGAACAATCCATTCAAACAAAAACCTGCAAAATTGAGCGAAAATCTACTGGTGGCCTACTTTACCCACGATAAGTTGTTTCACTTCTATATACTGGACAGTGCGTCTCGCCGAGCTGAATCGAACGATGCCCTTGGATTCAGAATATGTCTATTCTCAAGCGAGATATGGCGATGCGACGCGTATTTCGGTGCTGTCCGATGCCCGGCGCACTCTGCCACATTCCGCTGGACTGCGGCGACTTTGACGAATTATGAGCGGTATTGTACTTTCGCTACTCGATGACTGCGGCGTTATAAAGTCAGCACAGTCAATGCTTCAGAAATCCAAACAGCAGCGCAGTATCAAGCTCACACACAAAAAACTCGAAATGAAACTGGCGACCAAACTCTTGCATATATTTGTCGATATGTGAGATAGAGCCTGCACATATATAAAGATGGCTGACATCCTCACTAACTTTGGATCAGAGGTCAGTCCCTACACCGGTATGTGCCTCAAGAACGTCGCGCGGGAGGAGTCTGGACTCCTTGATGTTTGGCATTGGTATTTGCCAATTTATTTATTTCTCAACCCAACTGCAGTGTACTTCACACCTCCCCATATGACGACTTTGTCGAAATGTGATGTCAAATAAAGATACCACCGCATCAACCTCGATCCGGCATGCTAACGCAAATACTACTGATATGTCATTCTCCGCGTTGGCGGCGTGCTGCGTTTCACGCGGCGCACACCACCGCGAGCCTGGAGCAGGAATGCTGCCTTGAATGGCTGCAATCAAGCGGGAAGAGAGGGTTTTGGGAGACTCAAAACCTAACTTGTAGGGTTTTGGACCTAGCTCGAAGACATGTGAAAGGTGTAAATGAAGTGAAGAGAGTAAAATGGCTTGAGCGCGTTTCAAGTACCCATAACTTTTTTTAACAAAGTTTTTACCAGAGTTTTTTCAACAAAGTTTGTGATTTTTCATGTGTAATTCTAAGCCCCATTGCGCATCTACAACCAATTTTAGTGCTGTAATCGCATATATTTGCTACAAGTTAGCCCTTTCATGGAGAACATACTGGAGCTGGATTTGCAAAGAATGGGATGAGCAGTGTTAGCACTTCAGACGTCTCTATAAGAGGAAAAGGTGGAAATGGGGGAAGTGGTGCATATATGCAAATAGAATAAAAGTTGGGAGTGAGCATAATTTATGTGACATTAGCGATGGAGCAAGTTGCGTTTGTAAAAGAGAGGGCTGCAATAATTTGTTGGGTTGATGAACGTGAGGCCATTTCCTCTGAATATTTTACTCTTTATATAAAAATCCCTTATTATCTTGCGTTATTAGGGGCGGGTATGTCTTAATCGCCCGTCCGATAAGGGTCCCATTCATCGTATCCAATCAGCTGAGCTTCACGAGCTTCACTATGCGAAGGTGCGCACGTGCGTGCTCACGCCCAATCAGACAATATTGGGTAAGTCATCAAAACGTGCTAACCTACCCTATCTCGTCTAGCTAATGAATTATGATGACTCAAAATAGCGCATGTACCTAAGTGCTCGTTAATGTGATAAATCACATATTTTATTCACTGACAAATGAAACCTGCCAGTCGCTCTGTTGCGGAAGTTTTTTGATCCAAGAACTAATTTGATTTGTTTTCAAGACTTGTAAGGAATCTAGAACGCGACCTAAAGAGATTTAGTTTTGCCGCCCATTTGTATAAGCTCCCAGGACTCACAGCTCTCTTTGAAGCAAGGCTTTGCACTTGAGAATTCCTTGTTCAGAGTCCGCTTTATGCTGATTTCAAACATGCAGTTTTCGAAAGGCCAGACTATCAGATGCGTTCCTTTGCCAGTTTGAGAGTTTCATCAGAGAAGGATTTCAAATTTTTTAACTCCCGAAAGATTTTGCACGAGACGATTGGCGATTATTTCATATACACCATACTAAGCTGATGGATGCATTTTTTCAAAACTCCGTCTAGGAATTAAAGACAATATCCCAGTTGCTTTTGATTTTTAAGATGACATACAGATTAATCCGTATGCCAACTGTGCTCTGGCAAAGGAAGACGGTTATTACGCACCTGCTTTGATTGCATCAATACTTCCGTTGAAAACTAGCTTCAAGGGATTCCCATTCTCGGGTCCCAGCGTCGCGAGGAACACTACCACTTGCTCTTCACATGTGACAGGCTCATCTGTTCTTGGCTCTTCCTGAAAAAAGAAAAACAAAGTTATTTGTGACAGAGGTCTAAAATCTATAGCTCTGCGTGGATCTGTTCAAAAAAAAAACTGAATAGCTTGGCAAACTGTACGCAAAAGCATCTCCTACTTGTCTCCATTTTAGAAATCCGAAAATATAGAGCAGTTTTTTTAGAGTTAATAACGACATATTATAATTTGTTATACTTTCAAAAAATTGAACACAACTTACATTCAATCCATTCACTGTCATATACTGCTCAAATTTGAGACCCCGATACCAGAGCGGCACCAGACGACCTCTTGATTCGTTATGCCAGCTTGTATAGCGTTCTTGTTCACAAAGAAAAACCACGTCATTGAAACGAACTGCAGAAAATTCCCAAGCACTACTCCAGACATACACAGTGCTTGCTATTCGTTTCAGCAGCCCACGACAGCATACAATGTCAGCATCATGCAGCACCTAGGCAAAAAAGCTTTCTTTGCCCTTCAGTCGGGTTATGCAGTACCTCTTTCACAGAGCTTCCCTTGGGTGCTTCCATAATAATCCATTTCCAAAAATTGTCAAGTCTTTCATCGGCCTTCAATTAGACGCAATCAGACTCTAGCGTAAGCTCTCCTAGTATCCTAAAAATTACACTGTTTTCTTCCAGCTGTTTCCTTTCATATTTGTCTTTCTCCATCTCCATATAGGCTTCAAAACCTTGATTGAGATCGTATGACACATTGTCTAATCCATGAACTAAGGCTTCTTCATTATAAAGATATTTGGCTCGAGCTGGCACCAAATCTCGATCGCAGGTCACCTACAAAGGAATCCATTGGAAATGAGCAGGCACTTCAAAAGCTGTGTAAATCATACCGTATACTGCCCAATTCTTTGCTGTACTTTAAAATGGGCATAATATTTAGGCCTTTTCCTGATATTTTGTACAATATCTACCAATCTGGAGGAAGCTGCAAGAACAAGAGCAAATTTACATTCTCTTCAGAAGTTAGTGGAACAGAAAAATGTAGTTTAATGTGATGCTTTGACAAAATGGTTCACTCAAATCCGAACATGATGTTCGACGAACCAGTAAAGCTACGTTTGACAATCTTGAATTACTATATCATACTTAACAAGTGAACAGTTCTAGTCCTAGATTAGTAAATAAGTTTACTAATGAAGACTAAAATCATTAATGTTGGAAGGAAATGTCATAGTCTGTATCTGTGTAGACTGTTGCATGACGAAGGAGCAATATCATGGGAGCAATGGCGACTTTATTGGCGGTCGAGCATATGTAGCGCAAGATTTACAACGGTAAAGATACACGCATTCGCGCCAGCTTAAAATACTGTTTTGCTCCTTCATCATGAAGTAGCCTTCATATTCACCTTGCAACTTGGAAGAAGAGATATTGTTTGTTGTCACCATTAGTCTCAGGAAAGTCAATGGGACGACAGGCAGAAGTGTCGAAAGAAAGGGGGAGGTGTCGTTTTTTGGCGCTTTATATGGAAAAATTTCTGCTTCAGCACTTTCATTATCCAATTTCGAAGAGAACGGATAAGAAAACGCTGAAACAGAACTGCTGACGGTAATATGACACATTGCCTACAAAATTTCGCCGTCGGTCTCCTCCGCCTAGTTATTGTTTATTACCTATAAGTTTATAAGTTACAGATACGGTATTGCTGAAGACTTCTGGATTTTGTCAATGCCATTTCGAAGTGCTATTTTGCCATGTGCATTACGCCAAACATTCTCAAAATAAGGCTCGACACTATTCTGAAAACGGAAGAATATGATAACAGGAGTATAACAGCCCTATAGTACATAGCATAATCTGTCTGCTTGGATCGGGCTTCAAATGTTGCATCGAAAGGAGGAGTGGGAGTGCACAGAGTTAGGAATTGTGGAATGGAAGTCTGCACAGATATGTTGGGGGCAGTTGATTATTTTCAATAGAATTTTTCGGAAGAAAACTATTTATCACACTAGACTCTTCGATGTTGGTAGAAAGTTTCCTTGAGTGATTTCGATGCCTAGAAAAAAGCATCAATTTATAACAAATCTGCGTTGTGTACCTCGTGCAATGGAAATGAGTCAAGCACAATATAAGCCCGAATACAAAAAATTACAAATTCAGAACCTTTCTGTTTCCAAAGTGTGATATCTGTTTTTTACGCACTCCTCTGTTTAGTTTCTGAAGCATTTAGAGTCTTATTTGAAAAAAAAAACAAGAATGGTGGGGACCGGCAGAGCAGATAATGTTTTTTTGAATCATCGATGGCACAAACAAGCTAGTTCCAATCTTAGCAAAAAAAAAACAGACTACTTTACTCTTTTTCGTATTTCAGGCACAATTATAAGTAAGCGTATTGTTGGCGTTCTATTCAGTAATTTAACATAAATTTTGAGGTCTCAATAAGTATCAAATGTAATACATGTTGTAAGAAATGTTATGCAACAATAGCATGAACGAGCTCAGATTCAACAACTCTTATTATGCTTTGTTTTTCTCCCAGACAGAAATACGAGCCGCGTTTCTTTAAAACTATTTGAGGAAGTGAAGTGTATTTTCTAAATTCAGTCGGATCTTTTAAGTCGCTAGCAAATTGTTCTACTTTTTGAAAGATTGTTATAATTACTTTGAGCATTCTCTCAAGTAATAAAGAAGCAATCTTGAACACTAGAGGAATCTTGTCTACCCCAAGGCAGCACGAACTTCGGAGGCACTAGCCAAACAAGCTTCTTAAGAGAGTTCTTAAACATAAAATCACCTTCTCTTATGTTCAACATTTTCGCTCAAAAAGTCGAACATCCCAATCACTGCAAGTAAAAAATTATTAATTAAAAAAGTGTGTTTTTATGAGTTTCCATGGTTCTGAGTAGATAACTAATCATGCTAATTTGACAGTACGTCCAAATAGTTGTCAAACACTGTAGACATTCTTTTTGAACAATAAAGAGAACCTTCAACATTGATAAATGTATTATCTGCTGTGATACACCCACATCATCAAAAGCGCTGGCTAGACAATCTTCATTAAAAAGTTATTCAAATTCAGCATCAGTCCCTGGTGCTTACAAGGGAATGGTCAGAAATCGAAGTGGCCAATCCATACAAGCTGCATAGCATTAGATGCAGCATAAAACGCTGAGTCTAAATCTGTCTTCCTTATCTGCAGAGCGCTTTTGTGGACGAAATTATAAGCCGTTGAAAGCCATAATTTCGCTAAGAAATTGTGTGTGTGGAGGGCAAACTCGGGTGTACAGAGCCATACCCGGCTCAGTGCTAGACCAAAACATGCAGCTAGGTCACTCCATATGGCCAGTACCTAAAAGTGAGCAAAAAGTGCAATAATGTGCCTAATCTGGCAATTTTTGTGTGCGCTTTTTTCGCACTAAAGCAGGTCATAACTTCGCTTGCAAAGGCGCTCTGCAGATATGGAAGACAGATTTGAAATAAGCATTTTAAGCTGCATCGAATAGTATGCAGCTTGTATGGATTGGCCACTTCGACTTCTGACCATTCCCTTGTTAGAGTTTTGGCTCAAAAGTTGGAAAATTCGAATCCTTTAGTTTCCGCGGTTCATGAGTGCACATCAATGATTGTGTTCCTTGGTATACCGCCTTTCGCAGTGGATCACGCGGTGTAAAAGAGAAACGGTTTCGTTTTCTGCGGAACAAAATTTTAAAGGGCCAATTTTGATTCGTCACTTTGTTGAGAGGGTTTACTGCCAGCACCTCTGTTATCTAATCTCTGAACGAGAATTGCGAAAAGATGACACTACACAGCGCGATTGTTCCTGCTTCCTTATCTAGCGCTATGCCCTTTATCAAGAAAAAACTTTTGTCCTGGTAAAAAAAAATTTCTTGTGCCGCCAATGTTAGATAGGGATATTACTGCAGTTTCCTGGCATTCCTCATTCTACTTATATGACTCAGGAAAGGAAAGCTACCTAACTTAGCCTGGCGTTTTGGTAACGGAATATTCTAAATCAGCTTCAAACGCTGTCTCCACATACTCCTAGGTGCCGCGAACCATTTCGAAGCGAGTTATGGGCTTTTACCTGCACGAAATTGGCATACTACTGAACATGGGAAAACTGCCGGTAGATAAAAATCTACAAGAAAAATTTGCTGAGATATCGAAACAACACATATTCAATTTTTCCCATTTGAAAAGCTCACTACAAGTTATTAGCACTTAGTTGATGATGCCGTGATGCCAGTGAACATACCCTCAATAGTCTAAGGACAGGGCCTCAAAAGCGAAGGTTATGCGATTACCTGCTCCTCATAAATAGCGAAGGTAAAAGGTGCAGAATAGTTATTAGGTTGTTGCAGAATTAATGTCCGTTTCTCAAGGCCCATATCAAACAACCTTTTTCCATCAAACTCTCTTTTTCGATATGGAATCCACATATTATTGGAAAGCTCTCTCCATGTAATTTTTAACAGTGGTGAAATTAAGCTGCTATCCTCATCTGTGAGAATTTCACCAGCTTTTTGCACATCTGCACTCAAAAATCGAAATCTCATAGCTTTTAGCTTTTGCTTTCTTGACCACAATTCGGGAGCAAATAAACAAATTCTTCTGAAAACATAGCTACTGTATGGATTAAATATTTTTTACTTATTGCAGGTTTAAATACTTTCTTCGAATGTACCTGAACTGAGAAATTGATGTCTCAAAAAAGATACTCGCTGCCTGAAATCCTATGGGTTTGAAATTTTTCCTGATTAGGGCAATCGCCAAAGCTTCGCCCATTTGTGAGCAATGAGCTCTGTGAGCATAAGATTAGCACACTTTAACCACAATATTTGGAGAGAAACTTAACTATTCAGTGCGCTCAGAATCCCGAATTTTCATAGGTTGGCACTTACAAGCCTGCAACAAATAGGCTCAAAAAGTGAACATTTTTGAATTTTTATCTTTTATTTTCGCAAAACTTCTTCGTTGGAGGCTTTTCTATACGCACGTGATCGGTGGCCTGCGGCTACAAAATAAGCTGATTGCTAGTCATACGAACAAATTTTGAAGAGAGTTGTAAGCTCTTGAATGCCCTAATTTCAGGTGTATAAGCCGCAAACGAGCTGCTCAGCCGCTTCATTGTGTTTCGAGAAGCGACTCATGCGGCACGACTCTTTCAAGCAATGCGCAGCGCCGTATATCCTTTGATTGCGAGGCCCTTTGATATGTTGGGGCTGGTTGATGTAAGCTAAGACCATCCATCAGCTTATACACCTGAAAATAGGATATTAGATTTTCAAAAAAGAAACTTGCAGTTTTTTGACGCATAATTTTCTTCTCGCTTGCGACATCAGTATGAGGAGGGGCGTGCTAAATCACGAAAGGTTTGCTGTTTCTGACGGTCTTGACTCCATTCAAAAATGTGAAAGCTGAAAAAAGTCATTAGGTCGTTCCGAAAGTTCTTTCCGCTTTTTTTCAACCTATCATGAAAACACGTGAAACGAAGATAGGAAAAAGCTTCAGGCACAATCCGTGCAGCTTTTCTTCCGCTTTTTGGTATTTTTATGCCGGCTTTTGTGGTCACTGAGAAAATCGCCATAACTTTGAACCCATGATTTTGACCATGTCCAACTTCGGCAACTCTTCAGAATCTTCATTTTCAACTCTTGAAAAAACTTTGGTAGCCATCAGAAAGAGTAAACGAAGTGCAATGTAATGTATTTTTGTGGCAATTTCAACTGGCTTCTCAGTGCTTTTTGAGATGGCTTTTCCGAAAGTCTTCACTTTTTCAAAATCACAAAATACTCAAACGCTCCGAACATTAACAAATCTTCGGAACTCGAAACTTTTAAAAGTAGGTTATAATTATCCACTATTTTTGAAGTAAATGAGCGTTTACCGCTTTGAAAAGTAAGTTTGAAAAACTTTTCTAGTAAAGTTATCTATTGTTTACCGATTTCAGCTATTCAAAGTTTGAAATGGGCCTATAGGATTCGTTGTGAGAGTATGTGCACGTCACGCCGTTCACAAGAAAGCTCGTTGAAATATCATGTTGAAGTGGAATGGACGATGGTATATCGACAGGAAAAGTAGCTTAAGGCTGCTACTATCACATCAACTACTCAGACTGCTATTGATAGTGAAGGATAGTTGTGCCCCAACATGGCCAAATTTCCAAAAGCTCATTTCCTTAACTTTCTAAGCATCAGTTTCATGCTTTGATAAATGTAGAGAGAAGTGAATTGGTTTTTGTACACAGCCAAGTTTTCTCTTTTTAGCGGATAACAACTGTTGTGGTCAGCCATTTTGAATTTTTTTAATCCAAAATATCGAAAGTTTCACAGCTGCACGCATGAGAAAAATGGGGTTTCTCATATTTTTGCGATTTTCTTCATAAGAATAGATTTTCTTTAAACGGCATTTACGTTCCAAAACACAATGAAATGCGAAACTAAACACCAAATAAACAGCCGTCTGCAATTGTAGGAGCCGCAAAAGCGACCAAAACAACACATTAGCCAACCTAATTAAGTACCAAAAGTTTATATTTGATTCACATAAATTGGAAGGGGTATCTTTCAAAGCAAATTAAAATGTTCTCTAAAGTTAGTATTTTCGAAAAAATCTACTTCGGCTAATGAAGCTGGATGAATGGTGAATTTTGAGGCTGCTAACGAATTTTGCAAGCGTCGCCATCGTCCTGCAACACTGAACGTATCTGGAACACACACATTACAACTAAATAGTCTTGCCCAAAGTAAAAGCTAAACTTTTCTCTAGCAATTTTGTAACTCACCGAATTTAGCACATTTGGGAGTAAATGCATGCATGGATTTGAAGAAGCAATCCTCTTCCCCTTAGAAAAGCAAAGAGACCAAGTGGACACATATTCAACCTGTGAGTTCAACATACAATATGAGCATTTTGCCGTGTTTCTTACCCTTGTGACTATTCCACGTCCATTGTGATATCCCACGTAATTGTCAACAATACCCACCAGGAACGATTGCAAGTAACATGAGAAATCTTTATCGAAATCGTGTTTTTGAGCATAATGACGAGTCTTTAACTCCACCATCTGTCCGCCTAGAAGGAAGGTTGTGTGGTAAACAGGACAAAAAACAAATGATTACCTGCTTTGTTCGCGTCAATACTTCCGTTATAGACTAATTTCAAAGGATTCCCATATTTGGGTCCCAGTGTCGCACGGTACACTGCCACGTGCTGCTCTCATGTGACAGGCTCATCTGATTCTGGCTCTTCCTGAAAAAGGTAAATTCTGACTTTGCGATCGTGAAGCTTTAGCAGTGCATAAATCTTTTTCAAAAAATTCAAAGCTGAAAAGGCAAATTGCACGTAAAAGCAGTTCTATTTAGTTTTTTATCTAAATCTGACAAAGAGTCTTGTAACAACAGTGATTTTCGCTGACACAGTTCAATTCGTATTTTTACATCAAAAAAATAGAACGTGACTTACACTCAATTTATTCACTGTCATATATTGCTCGAATTTGAGACCACGATACAAGTGCGGCAAGAGACTTCTTGATTCGGCATGCCAGCTTGTATAACGTTCTGGTTCACAGAGAAAAACCACTTCATTGAAACGAATTGCAGAAAATTCGAAGGGTTCACTTCGGATATGCGCAGTCCTTGTTATTCGTTTCAATAGACCACGACAGCATACAATGTCAGCATCATGCAGCACCTAAGCAAAAAAGCTTTCTTTGCTTTTTCAGTCGAGATATGCAGCTTTCACAGAGCTTCCCTTGGGTGCTTGGTCAGTACTCCATTCCCAAAAACTATCAAGTCTCCCACCGGCCTTCAACGAAATGGAATCAAAATTAAGCGTAAGCTCTTTCCGTATCTTGAAAAGTACATTATTTTTTTCCTTCGGTCTTCTTTCATATACGTCTTTCTCATTCTCCTTGAAGGCGTCGAATCCTTTCTTCAGATTATATGACACATCTTTTCCACGAGCCACGCTTTTTCATTATAGAGATATTTTGGTCGGGCTGGCACCAAATCTCGATCGCTAGTCACCTACGATCACCTACGTTGCGGGTGAAATTCTACTATTTTCAAAGCTGCGTTGAGCGTACCGTATACTCGCCAATTTTTTGCGATATTTTGTAATTAGCATAACCTTTAGGCCTCCTCCTCATATCTTGTTTTATGTCTACCAATTTGGTAGAAATCGGAGAAGCCAAGAGTACATCTTCACTTTCGTCAGATGTTACTGGAATGCAAAAAATACAGTTCAATGTATTGTTCTGAGGAAATGGTTCACTCGATTGCTATCATGGCATTCGACAAATTAATTGAGCTATTTTTTACGCTTATCAAACTATTTAGTTGTAGATGGCAAATGAATTTACTAAAACTAAAACTGTAGAAATGTCAATGGAAAAGCCAAGATCTACCAATTCACCTTGCATCGTGGAAGAAGAACTGTCATTTGGCACCACCATTAGTCTTAGGAAAGTCAATGAAACAGCAGGTAAAAGTGTTAAGGGAGTAGAAAGCGTAAGCGTCTTTTTTTTAGCGCTTTATAGCGTTGTGAACGGATAACGAAAATGCTGATGCAGAAGTGTTCTCGGTATTATGACGCATTGCGTACAAGATTTCGCCGTTGCTCTTCTCCGCCTATTTACTTTTCATTACCTATCAGCTTATAAGCGACAAATAAGGTGTTGCTGAAGACCTTTGAATTTTGTCAGTGCCATCTCGAAAAGCGATGTTGCCATAAGCATTACACCAAACTTTCGAAATAAAGCTCGACACGATTCTTGAGAACGGAAGAATTTGATCAGCAGAGTTCAACAGCCCTGTGGTACATAGGATAATCTGCTTAGATCTGCCTTCAAATGTTGCATCAAAGGAGAAGTTCGCAGTGCATCATAGAATGGTAATTTGTAAAAATGTGGTAGAGGCAGCGTTAGTATGCTCAAACGAGTTTTTCGTAAGAAAACTATTTATCACGCTTTATTCTTCAGACTTGGTCGAAATTTCCTGAGGAGTTTCGATGCCTAGAAAAAAGTTCCAACAGTTCATAGCAAATCTGCATTTTGTACTTCGTACATTAGAATTGAATAAACAAGTTATAAATCTGAATACAAAATAAAGGCTTACAAGTTAAGAACCTCTCTGACTTTCAAAGTGTGATCTGTATTTAGGGCACTCACCACATTCTTTAGCGGTTTCTAAAGCAGCTTTATGGTCAACTACCATGTTGGAAGCACGAATAATGAGGACTGACAAAGCAGACGATAAAACTTTTATCCTCGATGGCACAAAGCAATTCCCACTTTTAGCAAAAAAATATAGACAGCGCTTTTACTTTAGTATGTCACAACACACTAGTGAGTGAACGTAAGGATGGCATTCTAAGTAATTCAGCTGAAACTCTGATGTCTTAGTGTCTAATGAAATCAATTGTTTTTGAAAATGGTATGCATTAAAAAGCTCAAATTCAATAGCTCTTATTATTTTTTTATGTTTCAGTAGGCCCAAAGCAACGCTTCGTCCTTGAAGGCAGTGTCCGGGCAAAAAGTCGATTTTGAGATTTTGTACTTACCCGGGCCTATTCACTGTGCTGAATCCGAAAATCCACATTGGAAAGTGCGAAAACGGCAAAAAAGGGCTCTAACGCAGGAGGGAAATCGGAAGTGGGCGGGGTCCTCTCCACTGTGAATTTCGCAGTCCCAACTTCTGGAGCGAACTTCCCAATTCCTCTGGCACCCTGAGATCTCCACCGGCCAGGTGCGAATGCATGACTTGAAATCGAAACCGAGAAGATCGCTATGGAAGGTGGGAGCGTGAATTCACAGTGGGGAGGACCCCGCTTACCTGCTGATTTCCCTCCCGTGTTAGAGCCGTTTCTCGCAGTTTTCGTGTTCTCCAATGTGTATTTTTGGAATGTAACGAATAGGCCGGGGTAAGCAAAAAATCTCAAAGTCGAGTTTTTGCCAGGACGCTGCCTTTAAGAACTATCTAAAGAAGTGAAGTGTGCTCTTAATTTTTGGTGGATGTCCTGATTTAATAGCAAAGATGCTTCGTACCTTTTAGGAAATGGTTTTACTATAGACATTATCATAAAATAAAAAGGGCACTCAAACACTAGAGAGTTAATCTACTACAAGGCAGCATGACTATCGGAAGCTCTGGCCGGACCACCGTATTGGAAGTTTTCTAAAAAAAGATCAACATGCCTGGTGATTACTGTTGTGTTAGTGTCTGATCAGCTGTTTTCTCGTATGATCTGCCCTCGCTGAGGCGCCTGCAGCCTCACTGCGCGGGAAATGAGCGCTATAAAAGGCGCTCGCTTAAGCCATTGTCAGTTCGTCTGTTCGTTCATCTGCCCCTCTTATTGTGCTGTTCTATTATTTTCTAATAAATATTCCGGTATTCTCTGTTCCTCGTGTGCCGCCCAACGGACGAAGGTACGGAGATGTGTCCGAAACTAAGAGACACAACAGTGGCGATCAGGAGGCAGCGGCTACCAGCAAGAAGTAGCCGGAATACGGACGAAGCACATCAGGAACTAAGTCGAAGAAAACTGCGAAGCCGAATCGGAATTCAGTCAACATGAGGAAAATAGGCGCAGAGGAAATGCTGGCCATGTTCAAGGAGCTGATCAAAGAAGACCAAAGAATTTCCGAGAGTTGATGAGAGAAGAAAGGAAAGAAATGACGGAGATTTTCCTGAAGCACACTGCAGGTACTGGACAAGTCAGTACATCATCGGAAGTGCCGAACATGATGTCCGCGCTCAGTAATCGGATCAAAAAGTTCTACTTTGACCCGAGGCGGATATGGGCTTCAGCAAATGGTACGCCCGCTACAAGGAAGTCTTTGTCGAAGATGCGAAGCAGCTCACAAAAAGCGCCAGGGTGAGGCTGTTATGCGAAAAACTGGACAAGGATTGTTTCGAAAAATATCAGAGACATGTGCTACCGAAAGAGGTAACCGCCATCAAATTCGAAGAAACGGTCGAAACATTGAAGCAACTGTTCGACATGAAGATCTCCGAATTTGCCATGAGATACCAGTGTTTGAAGCTGAAAAAGGCGGATTCCGAAGATTATCTCATGTATACCGGTCGAGTGAACGAACTGTGCGAAAAGACGAAGATCCACGACCTCGACAGCGACGGGATCGAATGCCCGCTATGGATATTTGGCTTGAAGAGCCAAAAAGAAGCTGAAATCAGGCAGCGGCACATCGCCGTGCTGGACAGAGAATACAAGGCCGGACGAAAAATGTCGCTGCAGGAGTTGTACCTGGAATGCGAAAACTTCCTGAGTCTCAAGAAGGATAGTGAGACTGTAGCTGGGTACTTTAAAGCAACAAGCAAGGAAGTGCCGAAAAAACTGGAGTGCTGGAATTGCAGTGGTGAACACTTTTCCAAGGATTGCAAAGCTAAGCTGTGGTATTGCAAGAAATGCAAGAAGACAGGTCATAAGGAGAAGTTTTGCGAACAAATAGCGGAGAGAATGCTTACTCAGCAGCATTCAAAACGAAGAATCCATAGAAACAGTGATAGCGGCAAAACGAAAAGCTCAAATAAAACGCGACGACATGTGCACAACGTAGCGAAGATTGCGAATGCAACGGTGGATGTCAACTCGACACGCATGTATATCGAAGCAAAAGTGAATAGTTATCCAGTCAGCTTCCTGTTAGATACTGGTTCGGACATCACATTGTTGAACGAATCAATTTGGAGAAGCATGGGTTCTCCTCGGCTGGAGAACACGAACGTGGTCGTCAAGAATGCCAGTGGAGGCTACATGAAGGTTCACGGGAAGCTGAGTGTGAGTATGAAATCAAGGGATCCACGAACGAAGACTACCCATACGTGACGCCTCACAAGTCATTGCTAGGACTGGAGTGGATCCAGAAGAACGAAGATATGTCCTATCACTTAAGCAGAATGGTTGCCGAAGTGAAGGCAGAGCAAACCAAGGACATTGCTTTGAAGCTGAAGGAAGCCTATCCAGAAGTCTGCGAAGAAGGGCAGGGCTCTGCACAAAGGAGAAAGCGCACTTGAGAGTTGACGAAAACGTTCGTCCAGGTTT